AGCAGTCTCCTTCTACACTGCCCGCCCCGTCACAACTTCACAAAACACGTACCACAGCAGCAGCACAGCTGTACTGGAAATCGCCACATCCAAACATCGGACCTGACCACTCACCTTTTTTTCACTGATCGTTGTGGAAAATATCTAGATCTTCACGACTGGTCGTCTTGCGTCAACTTCCCCAACGCATGATACACAGGTTCACCGAGATATATGCTGTCGTCGTCGTCACTTTGTTTCTCTTTTCTCACAAAAAGTGGTCTTGTACATAGGCTAGTCTACGGCAATGTCACCCTCTCCTTATCACCAACCACACAGCTCATGCAACACAGCAGTACTTCATCAGGAACAATTTTTCGCACGAGGATAACAGAATCCTCGTCTTGGAAAGAATCTTTACGACTGCTTGTTTGGATCCGATCCGATCATCATCCCCGACGAATACAGAGCAACAAGAGCCAACAGGGTTAGATACAAACCGACAGACAGACACGGACATACCGTCTCAGAGAGAGGCAGAGAGAGAGGCACCGAGAGGAATACACCTGCAGCCGGGCTTTGTCGCGCCTTTTTCAAGGAAGACTTCTAGCAACTCTCCCCTCAATCCCGCAACGCACACTCTGCCGACTGTTGACCATTCTACCCACTCTTCCAGCTCAACAGCTCTTAACAGCTTGTTGACTGAAAAGTTTTCCTGAAGGCTCCTCTTTCGCTTCTCAGATATTTCGCTGGGTATTCCACGGACGTCGCGACATTGATTCTGTTCTGATCCCGCTTGCTGGAAAGGTCTGTCCGCCCTACCATATCATACAACATTCTTGTCGCTCTCACCCGCTGCTCCCATCCTCACGACCACCACTCACACCACCGCCTTCGTCGTAGGATCAGCCGAGAATCACCCCACAGCTCCTAGGTACGAGCTGGTTCGTTTCGCGGCCTACGTGTGCCGTTTGGCTTTTGTGTGCTTGTGTGGTGCCTGCACATCATGCAGCAGCAGCAGCAGCATGCTGGTGTTGCGTGATTGAGATAGAAATTTGCGTCCACAGGTCACAACTCGAAACGCGCTGGGTCGAGGTAGGTAGGGACATGGGTCTAAACATTTGCCGTGGTCTATCTATGCATGCTCTTTTGCGTTTAGGAAGAAGGTGGGCGTATGCTGTCCGCTGAACCCGCGGCCATTGGTGGATGTAGGTCGTCGGCAGTTTTTTCCCTGAACACGCAGGCAGGTTATCTTCTACAACGAGTACACAAGCTGCCATGGTCTATGTGGTTGAAATCTTCTTCGTGGCGCGCATGGCGCTACTGTGGAGACTGGTTGTTAGTGCTATGCGTTGTCTTGATGATGTTTCTTGTCGAACTTGCTGCCTCTACCTTGGTTATGGGTTCCCCCCGAAAGCCTAGAAACGTTGACCTCCACCCAAATACCCCCTTGCCTCACAACACACACCACGTAGTGGTTCAAAAGACGAAAGAAGCGAATTTCTGCGGTCTCAAATTAGTACCGAACCACCGACCCTGAGGTCACAGCCGAGATCGTCGGTGCTTGTATCTTGTTCACGGGTAGACCCAACCCTGCTTGGAAGGATCTTTCCCGCGGAAGATTGCGTGCTTGTACAGCTCGTCATGAGTTGAGGCATGATTTGGTGGATTGGTGGATGTTTGCACAGCTGATGGCGAGCACCGATGGCATTCCACGGACGGGTTGTGTTTTTTGTGGCTTGCCCGCGCGGGCTCAATCTTGGGTGGATGGATCACACATTCGTCCTTGGCGTCCTTAAAGAGTGCCAACATAGAGGTTGGCTAAACACTGCGTGTCACGATTTTACTAGCGCTGCTGTGTTCGCTGCTGCCAAAGGGGGCGGCGGGTCGATTTGTTGCAGTAAGCATGCACCCACATCCGGGCAACTTGTTTGAAAATTTGAAACCCAACACATCAAGAAACCGCCTACACCCAAAAACCACACCAGAGCAACAGCAGTATCCTCACACGCGTGCTGTTGGATGAGGAGAATCGCGCCGCAAACACTGGAAGAATCATCGGGACCACAGGCACAACAAGTTCACCATGTGCGACAGGCCTACATACACCTGCTTGTCTATGAGTCTAACAAAACAGGTAGACTACATGTACAGCAAGTACAGTAGTATTTGTATACCGCACTGGCATACAACCAGCAGGGGAGTCGACCAAACAACCCTGTGTGGTTGTAAAGTTGTGAAGAGTATTCGCGCATAAGAGGTCCTCCGTCAACTGTTGAGTGTATTTGTACCATGCAAACCTCCAGAAAAGGTGCCGGATTATTTCGTTTCCCGCACACATCGGTACATTCCGCCAGAGGGTCTGAGGTAGGGGCGTCGTATAAAACATCACGAGATCCACGGCGGCACTAGTGTTTTTTTTACTTTGCCGCGTGTACTACGTTGTATCGTGGGGTAGAAGTAATGCATAGACCACCACGCGGAGATGTGAATTTCATTTTACGTCGCTAATATTACCGTATATGACACAAGATAACACACCCCCTTGGCCGATTTTCAAAGCTCGATTTCTCAACAGCAGGAAGAGTCACGGCGCCGAAAACGGCAGCGTTGGAATCGTCTCGTCGAGAAATTTTCGAAAATGTATCGTTTTGTTTGTGCATCCTCTTCGTCGTGGAGTAATCGAGCTTTGGAAATCGGTCCAGGGGGTGTGTTATCTTGTGTCATATACGGTACATGGTGGGTGTCGATTTCATTTTGTTGCAGGCACCCGCGACAATCCCCAAATTTTCCGACTTAGTTCTACAAGTACATTGCGCCATTTGGATGCTTTGACTATCTTCACTCACAACGGTGGTTGGTCGTACTGTGTAGTCAGCTACGGAAATCCAAAGCACCAGGGATGGCGACTGCTTATTTCATGTTGAGGATCTCAGATTTTTGCAAGTGATCCCTGTCTATTTTTCCCCAACACCCCCCTGCTCACCGGGGTTTACACATTGGTGGGCTTACGTATGTTGAAATGCGTTTCGCGCACGCCCTTCATTTCACCACCCTTTTGTTCATTTGGTCGTGCGAGAGACAAACCAAGCAAGCGATTTCAACCCGAGCGCGTTCCTTCCCCGTCAACAAAGTCGGGATCGGAAATCCTTTTTGCTGCGAGCCACCCTTTCTTTTTCGATGTCCGTCTGGGACGACAAACAAATATCGCCACCGTCGGGAGGCTCTTTGCTTGGCTAGATGGGTGTGAATGGCGCCGTCATGGTCGTCGTGCGTGTCTCTGTGGCGCTCACTGGCGGCAAAGGTTGTCGGATCTTTAACGAAGACGAAGCAATAATTGATGATCTCGTGTGTGCATTGTCATTTTATGAACGTTTTGGGTTGTTGTGGGACGACGAGCCACGCTTTGCTTCGGTGTCGAATTTTCAACATTTTGCCATTTTTTGTGTAGTCTACAGTAGTAGAAGGAGCAGGTGCGCTTCGGCCTGAAAATCGTTCTTCGTGCGCGTACCTTTCAGCGTTCTTCCATCTCTAGCTTCCAACATAAGACAAACAAGAGGTGCAGCCCACCCGTCGAGCGGGAAAAGGTGACCATACATTTAGCGCGGTTTGCCTGCTTTGTTCCATGGAATCCCGAGATGGTGTCATGTCCACTGTACAACAGCAGTCAGTCCACTTTTTTTGGTCATCGACTCGATGTCTGGCCTTGGGCCAAATAGTTACGCTCTGTGTGCATAGGCCACTTCGCTCTTCGGGAATCGAGAATCGCTGCCTCTCCCGAGCGCGTGCAACGGTCGATAGTGACTACCCGAGCCCTATCGACTATGCACCACTAGACGCTAAAGCTGCAACACTGAGCCATCCCGACGGTATCAACTTCCCTCGCGCCGGAGGACAGAAAAATAGTATTCTTGTCGCTTCGGATGACCCCCTTTCGCTCTCCGCGGCTTCCCTGCGTCATTCTTTCTTGCCTCGACGTTTTCGTTCTCTTCCCCTTGGCCCTGTCTTGTCGCTGGGGTTTTATTGCTCAGGGTGTGAAATCGTCGGTCTGTTGTCTTTCAGCTGCGCTATTGTACGCTTCGCCCTTTCCGTGGCCGTGGTAGCGCTGCCGTTTTTCTTGCAATATTTTCTCTCTCAGAGTGTGGTAGGGCTAAAAATACCTTGTGAGGATGCCGATTGAACTGTTCGCGTGGTATTTGGTTTTGTTGCCTCTCAAAGGCCATATTTTGCGTGCCAGTGACCCTACGAGTTGCCTTGACGCATCCGTGTGTGTGTCTTTATTATTGTGTAGCATCGACCGCGCTAACCGGCTGACCAACGAAAAGACTTAGTCTCAGTGCGGTTGAAAGCACAAAACACTCATAAACTTTCCATTAACTGGGGCCCCGTGAGGGGACGGCATGGGGGAGGCTAAGCTATTCTCCGGATGAAGACAGAAACGGTATGTAGCAACAGAAGAAAATTGCACGCGTCTACCAAGGCTGCTACCTTGCGCTCCACGTTCGTTTTGGAGTGCTTTCACCATCATCCCTCCTTGCTTCACTGTCACCATTCTCATCATCATTTTAACAGTATTTTTTCGGCAGTTCTTCTCTGGCCCTGCGTCGTTCGTTATGGGGAAGATTATCTGGCTCGAAGATCTTGCTCTCTTCCACGCCATGATCCCCTCCTCGACTGCTGTCTTGGTCTCTGTGTTCTTGTACTCCTCCCGTTCCCTGTTCTCCTCCTTCATCGCTGCCAAACGAATTCCCCTCATTGCTATCATGATCGGTTTTATCTGCACTACTATGAGATCCCGTCTGTGTGTTCGTTTTATTTGCATCGACCGCACTAATCCTGTGTGTGTGTTTGTGCTTGTTTTTGTCGCCTGAGGCCGTCGCTGCGTGCGCTTAGTTTTTCCCTCTGCTTTCGTTTCGTTTTGTGGTACTGTTGCTGCTGCTTCGTTGTCAATCGTGCACACAAGGTCCACACAGAGCAGCGCCCTTCTTTCTATATCCCAGGACCAGCGTTCTTTTCCAGTCATGACCCGCACTGCAGGAGCACTCCCTCGTCTCGGGGTTGTATCTCTCTACCTCCTCGGCGCCGCTACCACAGTGGTCCGGCATGCCGACGCACAGTACAGCGGCCGGGACTGCAACGAATTCAACTTAGCCTGTTGTGAGTACAGCGTGTGAAGTACGCCCGCGGTTGTTGGTTGTTGATAGACCGAGGGGGGGCGTAGTCTACTGACTAAAAACAAGGTACAGTCACAGTAGTAGAGTACCCACATATACGTGCTCGTTGTCCGTGTCGCGGAAGAAGATGCCGTGGTGAAATGAAATTGTTTTGCGCATGGCCTGCCTGGTCCGAGCGATAGTAGCTCTCGAGCAGTTGAAACGTAGGGAGCACATGCTCGCAAGGTCACCGCACGCACGACACCAGTACGATGCTCGTGGATACTTTTGAGTTCTATGGGTATTTGATTCATTAAAAGCGTTTTGAGACCCCTTCGCATCCCAAGCGTGTTCTGGGGGTGGGTGGGTGGGTGGGTGGGTGGGTGGGTGGGTACTGGGAGGCGGAACCCTCCGCACGCAACGGACTCCCGTGGAATCGTATTGGCCCGAGGAGATGGCTTTCTGGGTACCAAAGTAGTTCTTGTGGCAAATACTGTAGTATCGACGCTCTTGTCGGCGTGTTCGGCGATGGGTGCCCGATGCTGAGGTGTCAAATAGTGTTTTACTGGAGGTTTGTCTTGTGCCTTTTTCGTACGGATGCGGCCTTTAACATCAACAAACTACGCAGTCAACGCTATTTAGCTTCGCAAGTCTGCTAAAGCGGAGGTTGTATCGACTTCCTCTTCCATTGGTGCATTGACCCCCGCCGCCGCCCTCGCCTTCGATCTCTTCGCAACAACTTTGCAACAACGCGTTTTTGCAGTTGAAAGTGAGACCTGCGCGGCGTGCTTCGAAACTTCGACCAGCGAAGCGTTTTTTACCTGCCTTGACAACCTCCCCATCCCTACAACGGACGACAGTTGCGACAGCAACGAGGAATTCGCTTGCTGCTTCAACGAAGCGTCAGGCCTCGACTGCATCAACGACCCGACCACGTTTGCATTGATGGAATGCTTGTACGACGACGCCAACCAGTGCGAGGAGAACTGGACCTGCAGCGGCTCTAGCGGTGGCGGCGACCCTTCCACAACCTCGGCCTCCGGTTCTACCCCGGCGCCATCTCTTCCTGCTACGACTTCCGCTACTGGCGGCGGGGCTGAGACCGCGGCGCCTGCCGCACCGACTGCATCTACGACTTCTGCCGGTGTAGATGAGACCATGGCACCCTCTGCCACCGACGGTGGCATGGCAGGCGCGCCGACTGCCTCGACGACTTCGGCCGGCGTAGATGACACCATGGCGCCCTCCGCCACTGACGGTGGCATGGAGGCCGCGCCGACTGCTACTACGACTTCGGCCGGCGGAGATGAGACCATGGCGCCCTCCGCCACCGACGGTGGCATGGCAGGCGCGCCGACTGCTACTACGACTTCGGCCGGCGGAGATGAGACCATGGCGCCCTCCGCCACCGACGGTGGCATGGCGGGCGCGCCGACTGCTACTACGACTTCGGCCGGCGGAGATGAGACCATGGCCCCGAGTTCCGCAGACGGCGACCGCGCGTTGGACATCACAACCGCCCCTTCTTCTGCTGGTGCTGCTATGCCGTCCGCTACTACTACGACTACTTCGATGGCCGGCGAGAGTGAGACGATGGCGCCAACGGCCACCGGCGACGGCGACCGCGATTTGGACGTCACCCCCTCCCCCGCCACCGGCGAAGCCGGCGGAGGTCCCGCCCCTATCGCTTCCGGAGCTGACGAGACCGAGGCGCCCACCAGTGCTGCGGGCGGGGTGGACACTAGCGCGGCCCCGACCGCCGTCGGCGAGGGCGAAGACGGTGACGCCACCGACACGACATCGGGGGGATGCCGCCTCCTGTTGTCGAGCGTCACCACTGTGGGAGGCGTTGTGGCAAGCCTGCTCGCGTTCTTGGCCGCCGCCGTGGTTGTGTAATGGAGCTTTGTAGGATTGTTGCTGGCGCGTGTGCATTGTGATTCTGGATTGTGTTCCGATGTTAGTTTAGTGGGAATCGGGACTTTGGTTGAGGGTTCGAGGGTGTACAGTAGTGAGCAGATTTTTCTGAAGGGCCCTCTGATATCATTGCTCGACCGCAGATTAGCATCGGGCTTGGCTACGCGCTACTGGAGTGTGACCCATGCGTTACAGCGTTATTATGTTTTGTTTCGGTATGTCAGAGATTCCTTCCCGTGGTTGTACGAGTACGTGATAGGCGGCGAGCCTCCTTGGTGTGATCGGGCCCGCCTTTACCCCTGCTCCCTTGGGATGCAGGTTTTCCGGAGTTGCATATATACCCTACGCAGGTGGTGAGAGTGTGAGCTCGGCGGGTTTGTTGGACGGAGGCCCTTGGTCTCCGTATCATCGTTTGAAGGTAGAATGCCGCAATTTCTATCATGTCTTGCGTGTACAGTAGTAACATTTATTTGTTTGGAGTATGCATACCATGGTTTGGATTTTACACGAATGGAGGATGGGGAAACGTAAACGATGGTATACTACGTGTTTGGGAGGTAAAATATCGTTTGGGTCCCCAAGGAGGAATCTTTATGGAGCTACATCTTGGTACCTTAGAACTTGAGCAACGTATGTATTTGAAGTACATGTGTAGTTTCTTCGGGTTGTGTTGCAAATTGATCTTGTGGTACTGTTCTGTGCTGCTGGTGTGTTTGTGGTCGAGCCCTGATGGTTCCCCCTCAGACGAAGCAAAGAGAGGGACTCTGGTCAAATGTATTGCTCAGGATGCCCTGTCATCTTGTCCCTTTTCCCTGCGGGTCTGGGCCACGGATGATTTGCGCTGAGAACCGCGTGTATCTGTTGTTATTATTTGAACGTACAGTCCACTGACGACGTGGTACGTAGTAGTTTTCAAACAGAAATCGGTTTCGTTCGACAACGGAAGTCATGTGCAACGTAGTCTCCTATACTTTGTTTCCGGTGACACAATCAGCGTACGAGCTCATTTCAAAGCCCTCTCAGGTCAACAACCCTCTCCCATGTGTACCGGTAGTATTTGTACGAAGCGCGTCGTGGCCGATACTGGAGGCGACGAGACAGGGAGACAGACAGACAGACAGACAGCGACCAAAACCTACAGAACCAACATAGCCCACAGCAGTAGAACGCACACACTGCAGACTGCTGTTGACCACTACATCAGAATAACTGCCGTTCCAGCTCAACAGCTCTTTAGCTTGTTTACTGAAGAGCGTTACCGAAGGCTCCTCTTTGGCTTCTAAGAAATTTCGCTGGGTGTTTCCCACGGACGCCTGGCGATCTTGACTCTGTTCTGTTCCCGCTGGGTGGAACGGGTCTCGCCCCATCGCCGCCCACACCATACATGCACATTCTGCCGCCTTTCACCCTCGGCTCTCATCCTCACGACACCACCACACACACGGCGCTTTTCTTCGTAGGACCGGCCGAGGATCACCCCACAGCTCCCAGGTAAGAGCTGGTTCCCTTCGTTTCGCGGCCTACACATGTGCCGTCAGGCTCTTGGTGTGCGTGTGTGGTGCCTGCACCTCATGCAGAAGCATCATCTGCTGTATGACTGAGATGGAGCTGCGCCCACAGTTCACAACTCGAAATGCGCTGGGTCGAGGTACGTAGGGGCATGGTTCTACACCTTTTCCGTGGTCCATCTATGCATGCGCTATGCGTTTAGGAAGGAGGGGGGCGTATGCTTTCCGCTAAACCCGCGGCCGTTGGTGGATGTATGCATAGACTTGCACAGACTGCAGCAAACTACATACATAGCTGCAGGTCTCGGGGCAATTTTTTCAAGTAACACAGGCACGAATCTCTTCACCAAGTAGTTGTAACCCCTCTCCCTCTTCGTGGGGGGCATGGCGTACTGTGTTGTGGAGACTGGTTGTTGCTGCTATACGTTGTCTTGATGGATGTTGTCGTTGTTGCTGCTACTGCGTTCGTTATGTGTTCCCCCCACAGCCTCGAAACGTGGACCTCCACCCAAATATCTCCTTGCCTACATAACACCACAAAACTGGTTCACATGGATGGTTCAATAAACGAAAGAAGCGAAATTCTGCGGTCTCACAAGCTGCCCTACACACACTGAGTTCCCAGCCGAGAGTCGTCGGTGCTTGTTTCTTGTTCACGGGTAGACCCAACCCTGCTTGGACGATGCTTTGCCGCGGAAGACTGTCTGCTTGTGCATCTTGTCACGATTTGGTGGATTGGTGGATGTTTGCACAGCTTACCGCAAAGAGTACCGTTGGAATTCCACGGACCGGGTTGTTGGGTTGTTGTCGAATGGATCACGTTCCTTCGTCCTTGTCCTAAAGAGTGCCCGCATAGAGGTTGGCTTAAACACTGGGTGTCATATTTTTTCTAGCGCTGCCGTGTTCACTGCTGCCCAAAGAGAGCGACGTGTGGACGTCTGTTCCATGATGCATACCAGGTACTAAAGAATAAGAATGCACAAAGGGCATTGCAACCTTCCGGGACAACTTGTTTGAATTTTTTCAAACCCAACGAATCAAGAACCGCCCGACAGCCACCACGCACCACACGCCTCACTCTTCTCACACGCGTGCTTGGATGAGGAGAATCGCCCGGCAAACATTGTAAGAATCATCGGAACCACAGGCAGAACAAGTTCACCGTGGGCGGCGGGCCAAGCCTACATGAGTCTAGACTATGCATAAAGAGTACTCTACAGCAGTAACGTCGTACCGTAGGTACTGGTACGCGTATGCATACGTTCATGCATGTATGCATACAACCAGCAGAGGAGCCGACCAGAACAACCCGGCGTGGTTGTGAAGTTGTGAAGGATGTTCTTGCAGAAGAGGTCTTCCGCCAACGATGATATTGAGTGTAACGTGACTTATACCGCAGCCTTATTAAAGACTTCCAAAAAAGGTGCCCGTTATTTTTCGTTTTTCCCGCACGCATTGGTGCATGCCGCCTGGCGGTCGAGGGGAGGCGGGTACTCTTACAGCCTCGTGAGTGTTCATTTTTCTTGCTACGTGTACGTATATGCTGAATAGTGGGGTAGACGTAATAAATTTTGACCACCACGCGTAGCATATGATATTCATTCGCTAGTGTAGGTAGTCTATGTGGTGGTGGGTACCGATTTCATTTAGTTGCAAGAGTGACAATCCCGGAATAATAAAATTCATTTTTTTTCGACGCTATCCACAGCAGTGAGCCATGGTGGGATGCTTTCACTCACAGCTGTGGTTGTTCGTAGTCGGATTCGGAAATTCAAAGCACCATTGGGCGACCGTTTGTTTCACTTTGTGGTTCTCATATAATTTTTACAAGGATATCTGTCTATCTTTCCCAGCCCAAGACCCCCCTGCTCACCCGGCTTTTCAGATTGATTGGTGGGCTTACGTGTGTTGAAATGCGCACGCCCTTCATTCCACCACCCTTTTTCTTTCATTTGGTCGTGCGAGAGGAGCCAGGCAAGCGGTTTTACCGCGAGCGCACTTCCTTCCCTGGCTCTTAAGACGACGACCGGGAACCCTTTTTTTACTGCGAAGGTACCCCTTCTTTGTCGGTGTCCGTCTGAGATGAAAAACAAATGTCGCCACCCTCCGGAGGCTCGAATTCTGGCCTCAAAGAATATTGTTGTGCTCTGTGTGCATGGCCACGTCTCTCTCTTCGGGAGTCGAGAATCGCTGCCTCTCCCCAGCGCTTGGTCGATCGTGACCACATACCGTAAACTACGGAGTTCCCCCCCCCTAGTACAGATCCCCCCCCCCCTCATCACCTTTTCGGCCTGGAAGCATGGTTTCGTCGATTTAGCCCTAGGGTAGATCGTTTTCGACCAAAAAAAACAATTTCCCCCCGGGTATTTCAATTTCCCCCCGGGGTACCAGTTTCGCACGAGTTCCTCCCAGGGGGGATGTGTTTCCCTTATTTTCTTAGTCGATTTTGTTGCATCGCGGAGCAAAAGCATGGTATGGGACGGAAAATTCATTTGCAGATCTGCGCTTTGAGCGAGATTTAGGTGTACCGTTTGTCACTTGGCCCTCGCAGTTGTTTTATGGGTGACATGCTCTCGTTTTCCTGTCTGTTTCTTGCATTTATCATCCCTGGAGTGAGCTGAAACGTACCTCAACATGCTGATGAAACCTTCCGCATAAAGGGAACAAATAATCGCGTATTCATTTTTGGATCTCACAATTAAAGGAACGTAGAACCAAACCATAAAAATAGCTTATTCCTGCGGACAAACTGCGAATTCTTGTGCATGAGCTTAGGCAATGGTACTTCTCTTGCGACCCGACAAAAACCTTGTCCATCTCAGGTTCGCCACTCTGTGTGTGTGTGTGTGTGGTGTGTGGACCATCATAATTTTGCACAACCCCCCCGGGGGGGGGGCTTCCCCCTGGGGTTCCGTTGGAAAAAAAAAAACTAACCCCCCCCGGTACGTCAATTACCCCCCGGGGGGGTTGGTTTCAGAAAAAAAAAACGATCCCCTCCCCTGGGGGAAAACTTCGTAGTTTACGGTACAACCCGCTCCTTCGAATATTCATCGCTAGATGCATTAGCTACAACGCTGAGCAAACCCGACGATATCAACTTCCCTCGTGCCGGAGGACAGAACAATAGTATTCTTTGTCGCTTGGGATGACCCCCTACCACTCTCCGCAGCTTCCCTGTGTCACTCTTTCTTGCATCAACGTTTTCTTTCTCTCACCCTTGGCCCTGTCTTGTCGCTAGGGTTTTGATGCTCAGGGTGCGAAATCACCGTTCTGTTGTCTTACAGCTACGCTACGGCTTGGCCCTTTCCGTGGCCGTGATCGCACTTCCTCTTCTCTCGCTATTTTTGCTAAAGCAGCCTTATCACAGGCTACTATTGTGATGATTACATTTCGCGTGCCAGTGACCCTGCGCGTTGCCTCCCTGTGTTTCAGTAACCCATTATCCTGAGCTGTGCCATTTGCGATACACCGTTCAACGCTGTTTTGTCACTATACGGTGTTAACGCTCGGTGATAAACCACCAACGTGAACGTTAGCGATCTTGACATTCTTGCTTTACATATCCGTGTGTGCGTGCTTGTTGTTGTCGCTACAGGCCGTCGCTGCGTGCGCTTAACTTAATCCTCCGCCTTCGTCTTGTTGTGCTGCTGCTGCTTCACACAGAGCAGCACCCTGCTCTCTATTCCCCAAGACAGGCCTTCTTTTCCAGTCATGGCACGCACTCCAGCAGCCCCCCCTCGCCTCGCGTCGCTCTACCTCCTGGTAGCTGCTACCGTGGTCGTGCTGTACGCCGACGCGCAGAGAGACTGCACGGGAACCTCACAGGCATGCGGTGAGTGCAACTTGCGAAACTCGGGCACGATGAGTTTTGTTTGTTTTCGATCAGATGGAATGGGGGTTGAACATTGACCGCCCCCCAGTGCTCCAAACGGTGTTGGAATCACGCCGACGTACCCACCCACCCCTTCAAACGAATGGGTGTGCACGGAGAGCATTGCTTGGTGCAGAAAATAACTTGGTATGAAGCACTACTGGTGCAGCCCGCCAGCGTCGAGTTCAATATTTTTTGCGAACACACGACCTTCTCGCTTTGCTTTGGGAATGCATGGCCATGTCGCGTCGCACATTGTTTAGACGTCCGGTTTAGCAAGATCGCAGTTGCGTAGCAGATATGCACCCTATCAATGCGGTGTGTGTTAGTAAATAGGAGTTTGTAGCGTTTGGATTGGAAAACGCCACTCGTAACCCCCCAGGGGAGGGTAAAGCCTGGTCGCGCGGGACCCGAACGAGAAGCGCTCACCCCCTCCTGCCGGGTGTTCGAAAGAGCGTGAAAAATCGAGCTTCTTCGAGGTGTGTCGCCTCTTAAATGTAGTGGTCCTCCTTCGGGACGTACGTTTATTCGGCCTCGGCGTCAGATTTCTCCAAGTTGCGTTTTAGGTTATGTAGAAGAGCCTCGAACAGAACATGGCTCTTGTCACACCCCTTGCAAGCGCTGGAGATAAAGAGTTCATGACGCAAGGTGAACAAGACAGGTGTAAGAGTGTCAGCAGCACCGAAGAGCCGTTTCTTCCAACGCAACAGCTGTTGTAGCAGTAGTAGTATGTTGAACCCTGCCTTGTCGAATTCCCCCCCGCCAACAACCTGTCTCTCAGTTGAGAGCGACGTCTGCCTCGAGTGCACCTCCTTCACCTCGGGCGATTCTTTCCTGGACTGCTTGGCGGGCATCGGCGCCGAGTTCGGTTCCTGCGAGTACGTGGAGCAGCAGGCATGCTGCTTGAACGAGGTCTCCGGCATCGACTGCGTGAGCGACCCGGTTACCTTCGAGTTCTTCGAGTGCCTCTACGACCCGACAGAGGCATGCGACGGGGGCTGGACATGCAACGGCGACACCACCAACGGCGGCGACACGACCCCGGCCCCGGCCCCGGCCGCTTCCGGGACGGACACGCCTGTCGCCGGCGGTGGCGGCGGGGCTGAGACCGCGGCGCCCGCCGCGCCGACTGCTGCTACGACTTCTGCCGGCGTAGATGACACCATGGCGCCCTCCGCCACCGACGGTGGCATGTCGCCCGCGCCGACTGCTTCCACGACTTCTGCCGGCGTAGATGACACTATGGCCCCGAGTTCCGCAGACGGCGGCGTGGAGCGCGCGCCGACTGCTACCACGACTTCTGCCGGCGTAGGTGACACCATGGCGCCCTCCGCCACCGACGGCGGCATGTCGCCCGCGCCGACTGCTTCTACGACTTCGGCCGGCGGAGATGAGACCATGGCCCCGAGTTCCGCAGACGGCGACCGCGCGTTGGACATCACAACCGCCCCTTCTTCTTCTGCTGGTGCTGCTATGCCGTCCGCTACTACTACGACTACTTCGATGGCCGGCGAGAGTGAGACGATGGCGCCAACGGCCACCGGCGACGGCGACCGCGATTTGGACGTCACCCCCTCCCCCGCCACCGGCGAAGCCGGCGGAGGTTCCGCCCCTACCGCTTCCGGAGCTGACGAGACCGAGGCGCCCACCAGTGCTGCGGGTGGGGTGGACACTAGCGCGGCCCCGACCGCCGTCGGCGAGGGCGAAGACGGTGACGCCACCGACACGACATCGGGGGGACGCGGCCTCCTGTCGTCGAGCGTCACCACTGTGGGAGGCGTTGTGGCAGGCCTGCTCGCGTTCTCGGCCGCCGCCGTGGTTGTGTAATGGAGCTTTGTAGGATTGTTGCTGGCGCGTGTGCATTGTCGTGTTCCGATGTTAGTTTAGTGGGAATCGGGACTTTGGTTGAGGGTTCGAGGGTGTACAGTAGTGAGCAGATTTTGCTGAAGGGCCCTCTGGGATGGGTTCTCGACCGCAGATTAGCATCGGGCTTGGCTACGCGCTACTGGAGTGTGACCCATGCGTTACAGCGTTAGTATGTTTTGTTTCGATATGTCAGAGATTCCTTCCCGTTGTACGAGTACGTGATCGGCGTCCAGCCTCCTTGGTGTGATCGGGCCCGCCTTTACCCCTGCTCCCTTGGGATGCAGGTTTTCCGGAGTTGCACGTGTAACAAAACGTTCTACGCAGCCGGTGGGAGTGGGAGTTGGCGGGTTTGTTGGACAGAGGCCCTTGGGCTCCATATCACTGTTTGAAGGTAAAATGACTTGTTATTCAATATGTAGACTATTGTTGTGTGTGAGCTTGTTTTGAGAACCATGGTTTGGTTGTAAGACAAATGGAGCAAATGGGGAACCGTAAACGACGATTCGTGGTTGGGCGCTAGGAATATGTTGTGGATGCCCACGGAGGAATCTCGCGGATGGAGCTACATCTTGGTACAGTAGCTTAGCACTTGAATCGTTTCGAAGCCCAATCTATACTAAACACCACAGTGAATACTTCTGTACTGCATATATACTGCGAAGGATGTGTTACAGTATCTATCTGGTTGTGTCATGTGGTGCTGCTGTAGTCGAGCCCTGATGGTTCCCTCTCAGCCGAAGCAATGAGAGGGACTCGGGTAAAATATGAAGCGCAGGATGCCCCATCATCTTGTCCCTTTTCCGTTCGGATCTGGGCCATAGATGAATTGCACTCTTCTATTGTCATTTGAGCCGGACACCATCCGCTGATGACGTGATTGTAGTTCTCAAGCAGAAATTTCTCTAGTTCGACAACGTAGTAGTTTATGTAAAGTGCAACGCATGTTATCTATTATGTATGTGTATGCATATGTAGTCTACTGCCCCCACCACCCACCCGCTCATGAAAACTATGCAGTAGTAGTTTCCGGTGACGTGTGCGCTCACACAATTTGAGCGTACGAGCTTCGAAATGAATCAAAAACCCTCTCAGGTCATGAACCCTCTCATGTGTACCAGCATTTGTATTGGTACAAAGCGCGTCGTGGCCGATGCTGGAGGCGACGAGAGAGAGAAAGAGAGAGACCGACAGAGTGTCAGCGACAGATAGGCCAATCAGCGTCCAGAACCAAAAAAATAGAACCACAGATCAGATGTTGCCCTTCGGCCTTACTTTTCGGCGTAATCACACCACGACGACAGAAAATCAGAGCAAGTGATGCCTCTCCGTGGTTGCGTCACAACGCTAGGCAAAGCACGGCGGGACGCACCGCGGGAGTGTCCGGGAGTTATCGGGTTCCCGCTACACCTCAAACCACCCTATGGCGCCTATATTCACCAATTCTAATATCCATGTGAGTGTCGAATCATCAGACAAAAGCGAATGACGGAAGTCGCGAGTGATCGGAGAGCCCCCAAACAGTGTGCACCCGTTGTACGCCCGTCATTTGCCTCTGCCGGAAGTACATTCGAGGGTACTGGAAGCCACACGGTTTAAGTGCAAACACCTCACAAACAAACCCGGTCTCAAGGTCTCGTAGTCAATGTATCGCTAATGTACATTACCGAGCGTCCGCACGCCTATGCATGTATGTACAGCAATAGGACGGATGGCCCCTGCTGCTGTGTTAGACCATGGATCATCAACCTTAGTGTCGGAAGCTCTAAACCACCCAAGCCAGTTTGAGCGGAACTCCGGCGGCGAGAGACGTCATCCCACTGGCCACTGTAGACATGCACTCGACCTTCCGAAGTTTGAGCCCGGTTGGTGCATGCTGCGGTATCCTTGGTTGCGTCGTCGGTGTTCAATCATCTCGACGTAATCAAACCGAACTTCCCGCCGTTCGTATCGATTGGTTGTACTTGGGCAGGATCTTGTTCTCATCAAACAATTGAACCCTCTTATGTATTTCACACTCAGAAAGTTTGTCAGCTGCTTCGCGACTGAGGTACAGCAGTAGCGTCGCGTTCTTTGGCCCGAACAACGCCGAAGAAGGGTCATTATTTTCAGGTCCATCACTACAGTAGTCCACAGCAGAAACATTTCGAAAATGTTCGCGGTTGGATGTTGTTTGGTTCACTGCTCGTTCCCTCACATCAACTGCTTCATGGAATCTTTTTGTCTCTTTGCCTGTCAACACCTGAGAGTATGCGCTTGCCTCATGATGGAGATACCTGAGGGGTGATCGTGGCACTATTATTGTTGCAGTCATCACCATACGCAGGTGCAACGATCTCGTGGTCTGACTGGCACAATAACAGCTAGTTCTACTTTAAAGCTTGCGTTTGCTAGTGTATACCAGATAGTTTTTCTCTAGTGGCCCCTCAAGAAAAAATTGGTTCTTCTACCGATTATTTCACCCGCATCATGGGTTCCCTCGTTTTTCTGCCCATTTGAGGATGGAGAGGACACGGTCGTTGTAACGAACGGCAATCAGTCATCGTGGGGGCGCAAAGTTAAAGTTGACCGAAATTTACGCAGTAAAAAGGTCGACTGGCAGTAAAGCAACAGACAGGGAGGTTGACGCTCTCTTGTGACGGCGAGAGTGGGCTTCGTGGATACTTTTTCTTCTTCGGAGTTATTTCTTTGCCCTCACCAACACATGAGAGGAACTTACACTCTACAATAATTTGCCTGAGCGGTCGTTGTGGGTGTTCGGGCATAGCTGCTCGCAGCTGCAGCAAGCCACCGTCGGAATAGATGCAGGAACATCGCTGTTGAATGATTATTGATTCAGTCTGCCTCCGGCTGGCTGAAATGCCGCTGACTGTGCCCTCGATACGTGAAGTGATGCGCAACCTACGCCACTCTACCCTCTCAAGCTGCCTATCGACAGCATACATAGCCGGGCAGCGTATCTCTCTCGTGTGGTAGGTCAATAGTCGACATCTGGACGAACCAACGCGCCTCGCACCACCACTCACAGCATTCGGCCATAGAAATGGCATTCCCTCATCAAACGTCAAGCTCGAGCATTCCACGGTGATGCACGATTCTGGTGAAGGATGAGCGGTGAAGTCCATCAGTTGAAAGTTGAAAGTGCTTCCATGCTTTCGCGGGTTGAATCCACGAATCCTGGTGTCTGAATTTGTCCCTGCCTGTGAATACAGCTACAATGATACCGCCTCGTCACCCGCTTACGTTCTTCACCCAGCACCGCACCTCGTGCTACGGCAGCTGCAAAAGGCACGTCGCGCTGGTGGCACTTCTTGCCGCGGGGGCAGCAAACGGTAAGAGAACAACCTCTTGTCCACAGCCCAAAGACGCACATGTTGATGGCTTCAAGTTGTATATTTCTGGCAAGCGGTGACGATGTGTTGTTAATGAGGCATAGGAGGAATGGACTGCAGAATCGGGTTTCGACACCCGTCGGAAACGCTACTGTCGTTTCATCTGATTTTCAACTGCTTGATCGACAAAGTACGACGTGTGCTGTCAAAGTTGACTGCGTTGACGTCCTGGTGCATATTTCTCTGCCCCACGGGAGGCGGGCATCAGTACCTACTCCGGACCATGTTTGTCGATTGAGTGACTTCGTCCGCCGAGGTCAAGCGCTCCGCGGTGAATATTGATCTCCCTAAGCGCAGCATGCACCAACCCAGGTCGTCCGGAAACCACCTTCCGGATTCAAACGAAAGGAACAGTTCACCTCGGTTGCTGACGCCCCGCCGACAATTATCCTCTCTTTCAGGTATTAACACGTGCATGGATTCCACTTCTAGCGGAAGGCAGTTCAAGTGCGGGGCGGACGTGACTACCATGTGAGCGCTCGACGTTGCCAACATTCTCTGTCTCTTCTCAGACGGTCTTGGCGGGAAAACATGCATACGATCAATTCCGAAGGGGATCTCCGACCCTTTTCGAAGTTCGGATTAGCTGGCTAAGGACCTAAGCGATGCCTAGCCCCGGCAATGACGGTTTCACTCGGAGGTCATCGTACCATTCCGCCGTGATAGCTTCCGCTGGGTCGTACTCGAATCAGTGCCAACGTTCAAGTGCTTGTGCGCGCTGGAAAGTATGAGCCTGTCGGCCACGACACGATACCCCGGGTGTGATGCCTGGAGCCTTCAGCACGAGAACGTTCGTCGGTACGGAACGGCCCGATAAAATGAAAAACGGCTCACTCAGCCATTCTGCACGTACGGGCGGACAGTGTAGGTATGCAGATCGTGTCTCCGTGATACAAGGTACAAGCGGAGTGATTCTGAGGAAGTCACCCCCCGAGTCTTTCCCAAAAATTCAAGCAAAGCGTTGAAGACGCTTGACATGGAGGTACAGTTTTGGGGGTGTGAATACTATTTCAGCCGTCCGGAAAAGTTCTCGCCTCTAACTATCCCTCGCTCGGCTGTCCCGGCTGGCAGTAACCTCTCCAACTGTGGACTAACCGACGCCGACAGCGTGGACATCGGTTCGTGCTTCGACAATGCTGGCAGAGACTCGATCAAAATCATGTAAGTGAAACCTGCGCTGCCGGGATGATATTGGATAATCTGTGGCGAAAGGTGTGTCGTATTTGACGGTAGCAGCCACGAAGGGAAAACACAGAACGAATAGATATTAGGAATCAGAGATATCGACCCTCTGTGCAAGGCGAAGCGACTGTGAACGCCGTTCTGATGAAGAGCGTTTCGATCTTGATGTGGCCATGCCAGCAGCCCCCGGGTAGGAATAAAAGCCGTGATATTCGGATACTCGTGAACACGTAAAGGTTTCGAGCTTGCATAGGCTATGAACATCGTGCACCCACTATCCATAGCTAGCCTTGAACCCTGTGGCCGACATTGCAGAAAGTGGAATAGAGTCTCAAGCGTCCTCCCACGTCGTTTTTCGTGCTTTGTTCGTCGTCACGCTCGCCTCTCGCTCGTCGCTTGTCGCTCTCGATGGCAGATACTTAACAGATAATTCTCTGACAACTTTGCCAGCTGACGTGTTCGAGGATCTTGGAGCGCTGGAGGCCTTGTACATAGGAAATAATCCTTTTACAGTCCTACCGGCGGGGCTGTTCCATGGGCTACAATCCCTCACACGCCTGTGCGTATTGCAACACTTTCCGTTCTCATATGTATTCCATTGGCTTCTCCCCTGCTCCCTCTGTATTCGTTGGGGCAAAGGCGCCCCCCCATGCACTGCCCTTCCCGCTTCTCCTAGTTTCGGACTACAGAGCTGGAGGCTGTCTCGAAGCTGCAAGGTTGAACGGAAAGTATGTTGCGTATCGATCCCGGCATGTCAACTGTAGGACATAGATCCATGTTGTGCAAGCTCCAATTTAATTTATGCTGCCCTGCTGTTTTTGCCCTGTAGCTGGATCAACGGAAGCCAGCTGGATCAGCTCGAGGTCGGCATTTTGGACGATGTCGTGGCTCTTCAGCATTTGTGAGTGGGGCGCAAGCGGTACCACAGCAGTGAATGAGATTCCAGCACAAGCGACCGTGTTGGAGCCCAGTTCGTAGAATGGGTTTGCGGTGGCAAGGGTCATCGCATTGTTCGGTTCATTGACAAACACTTTCCGTGGGATCACCAACCTTTTCCTTGTCGCGGAACTCATGTACAACTCTCCCACCTATAGACAAGGAACCATGATTCAGGTATCTGCCGATGACACGGAAAATGAGCACCGAGGCATGCACATGAATCAACCAATTTCTGGAGCATTGCCACGAACCACCGCCACGACGTGCCTCCTTCGTCCGCACTTACAGAGTCATGTCGAGTACCAAATGCATACCCTCCCAACAATGTGCCGGAATGTTTCACCATCCTCCGGGTTCCTTCGTCCATATCTGTCCTTGTGAAGCACCTCCCCGAGAGTGTTCCCGCTCGAAATGCTGCATAACTGCTCAGCCTATGCCAAGTTCCGTCATGTTGTTCAACCTTCCTAACCTCACCTCCAGGACAATACATAGCCCCGCCCCTTCCCTGTCCGTCAGTCGCAGGGAGATACTCCGAACACCCTTCCGTGCCTATCACCGTGTCTGCTTGTTGCAGATATCTCCACAACAACAAACTCAGCTCTCTAGATGTTTCGGTCCTGCACACTCTCCAGGATCTTCAAATCTTGTGAGTACCGGACTGATCGCGGCGTCTCCTTTTATGCTACACAAACGGCAAGCTAGAGTAAACTGCTGCGTACAGATAGGCGCTGCACTTTCCTGCGGAATGAATTTTCGGGAGTTGGGATCTCTTAGGCGTATCTAAGGGTTCCTACCTTAAATTTGTATAGTTCTTGCCCGGTGTATGCCTGCGGTGCATCCATACGATGCTATATTGCTGGACATGTGCATATTCATCATGACATATGTGTCATGTGCCCTCCATTTTCCGGATGTCGGAGAGGTCTTTCGACATGTTTCTCCGTTTCCTACACCGACCGAAAGAATTCTTCCTTGCAACCAAGGTTGGATATATGAGCCAAGTTACTATCCTTCAATATTTCTTTGATGTTGTCCTTGGGTGCCTTCCTGAACATGCCGTCCACCCAGCGACGTTCGAGGAAATAACCTGGAGACGCTGCCATTGGCTGTTTTCGGCAACGAGGCCCTGCAATCACTAAATACATTGTGAGCACCAACGCATGTGGAGCACGTTGATTTCTCAATACATACGAACTTGCTGTTCCGGAAATTCAATGGGCCGAACCACGAAGTTCATGACGAAGTAGTTGAACATTCTCGTTTTTTTTCAGGCTGTTTTTGTTGCGCTAACGGTTCAATTGGCGTTGCTTACGAGGTACTCCCTCGGTGTTTTGTCCGTAAGTCCGACGGGTTGGCTCGCTACAATCTGGTACTTAGACGATCATTTTTCTGATCCAAGAGCATCTGGGCATGATGGCAAGGGAGCCATAACGCCGTCGGAATGGTGACCTATCCGGCCATCCACCCGGTACTCGCTCTTGCATGCGCTTCGTGTTATACATTTGTTCGGTCATGTATGTCATACCAACAAGAAGCCGCGACCTGCAACCAATATCACCAAACAAACGCGCTCTAACGAAGAAAGTGTTTGCGGCTTCGCGTCCCACGTGCAATAGTCGTCGACGGAGTGACCCTTTCTGCTTCTCACCGTGATTCCTTGGTTCAACCTCCTGGAAAGCGCGTAAACAAAAAAAGGTAAATCATACCCAAGTGTCTTAGAGGGTTGCATGCCGATCTGTTACAATCTTGTTGAACCCCGCCGACGCCGCCCCATGTTCAAATTTTCTCCCCTGGAACCTCGGCATACAGGAATTTATCAGGGAACGACATCTCTTCCCTCCCGCTCGGCGTTTTCGGTGGTCTTACCGGACTCTTGAAGCTGTGAGGATGGATGTTCGAGTATTTCGTTCTCTTTTGGTATGGAGTGAGAGTGAGCACGAAAATGGCCTATGTTGAATCTTTCCGAAGGAATCAACCTGAACGCCGGCCGTTGGGTAGATGCGTTAGACGGTTGATGAATCCGTCAACGTGTGGAGGTCACGAAGTGATACATGCATCCGAGTAGTATGGTGCGCCTTCACGCTTTAGGATGAATATCGACATTTCACCGCCGGCTACATATTTTCACAAGGTTCCCCCTTTTCCAATCTACCAGGTACCTTTCGGACAACCCGTTGGGAACGACACTGACGGCCGGGACGTTCGCTGGGTTGGAAGCGCTTGAAACACTGTTGAGTACGAGTGTTGTAGGACACGTGGTGCGCCTCATCCGTTCCCATCCATTCGCATTTTCATTCGGTTTAGTACATCGCCAAGCCTTGAGCACCCGTGGGCGACCCGTTAGGAACCCAATTTCCGTTGTAGCTGAGGGGGCTTTTCGTCATGGTGGGACACGAGTGATCGTACTCACAGCTCGCCCGCTTTCGTTGACGAAGGTTTGGCGTACGCGTTGAGCTCAGACATGGGATCATGTTCAAGCCGTTCTTGCTGAAGTTTGCGATATTATGACCATTGCGACATTATGATCAATATCGTTCTCCTTTTCGCACGTACACAGCAACCACAGGTCGTTCTCTGCAATTTGGCGTCGGTACCGCGTGGATTTCACGCTCTCCATGCTCTCTCGCAAGAACGGCCTTCTACTTGACGTATGATGTGCGACCCAGCACATGCCAAAGGCGGGCCTTGAAAGCGTTTTCCATCACGCCCCGTGTCGTCCACGCAGAACTCTTTCCAACACACAGCTGGAGACCTTGCAGGCGGGGCTTTTCGACGGGCTCACAGCGCTTAAAACACTGTGAGGGCCCGGTTGAGACCTGCCGAGTGTGCAGATGGTTTGGGGTTTCCGGTGGAAATAGTGCAGCACCAGTGTTGGCAACGTAGGGTGATTCATTGTCAATTCACTACAGTAGCGGGGAACGGCAGGAGGACCGTCTTCCCATGTGTTGGGCCCACGAGGGAAGGCCGACTACTTTGTCGCTCGTAATGTGCACACCACCTCTCTTCGTAGGTGCCCTAAAGGTTGAGCACATCTTTCCGATTTAATACGGAAGCGACCACGCTACCACTGACTGGAAGCTACGATAGCACCGAGAACACGTTGTGCACTGAAGTATTGACATTCACGTCCTTGCCGTGAAAATAGTCCCTTGTCCCGACGGCTTCGAATGACTCTAATCCATCCCCTTCATCTCCGTATTGTCTCAAACCAAATGCGAACTTATTATGCTGTGAATTGGATCTGCCCAGGGGCTTGGAAGGCAACGGTGTCCTTCAGTGTGTTCCCTCGACAGCGGGGTAAGTTGTGGTCGTGAATGGGCGTGCTGGTAGGTACCTCATCGTCGCAATTCATTGAAATTTTTATCCAAGCCCACTACCCCGCCAACAATTTGCAGTGCCACCTTGGTTTTTGTTGCAGTCGTGGTCGCACGAGCCAAACTCCAGCAAGTGCGACACGCATCACCTTTCACCGACCCATCCCCAAAGACAATCCAGGCAAAAGTGACGTCGTATTACTGAGGGGGGGACTTGTAGAGTGAGTTTGGGGTGGGGCCACCGCTCGCTGTCAACCGCGCTCATACCGCACATGTCGACAAGACCGCCATCCACCACCTCTGTTTGAATCTATGCATCTGTCGATGCGCAGGTCGCCTGCTTTGGCGGTCAGCAATGTGCTACTCCCGGCAGGTTTCGACAGCAGCGCTGTGTGCTGTGAGTGACTACATACCTTTCATGATTCCCTGTCGAATTGACTGCACCAAATGTGTTCGGGAGGGAGATGTATCCGAAATACATCACAACGGGTACACGGCCGTGTGGTGAATATGTGTAGCCTCTGTTTGTCGACATACTCATTTTTGACTGCAGCTCCTGCCTCTACGTATGTACGGTAGTCCTGGAGGTAATAATATCACACCAAATGTGCACCCCGCTACCTCCAATTTGAGCTCCCCCACGGTTATGTGCATGAATGAACGTGACACACATGGCGGATGGATCTGCTAGCAACTGCTCAATATTGGGCAGAGAGAGTCACATGGTAGGAAGCAGAGAATACGCAATATGCCGTGGGCTCTTCTGCTTGGCGGGTTGGATGCAAGGGAATCAAAGCACCACCGATCATGATCGACGAAGAAGTGGTGGCGGCGTTTCAGCCACAGCAAGATATCTTGTTCTTATCTTCATGCCCTGAAATGGCTGCTGTTCTGTCGGTCTTGAAGCTTGCCCCGGGGAAGATATCTGCAGCGATTGCCTCCCTGGCGAAAACGGTTATATCTGCACCGGTAAGTCGTTGGTCGGAAACTTTGGTGTTTATATGTGAAAGTGACCGACGCCGTCTCAAACGTTGCACATCTAACGCCCGCAGGAAGATCGTGGCCTGGAGTAAATGGCAGAGTACCGGTCAACCTATGATGAGACTGACACTTTGACATGGTTTTTGTTCCTAAATGAATGCTGGCTTTAAAACGGTGATGAGCGCAATGGATGCTCGCCCCCGAAAACTTGCTTGTTGGGCAAAATCCTTGAGAATAGGCGCCGTGGAGGGACGCAGAAGAAGACTAGACTATATTCGCGATGTATCCTCCGCACAGGAGCCTCTACATAGCATTTCAGTCCGTACTGCAAAGTGCCACGGCAACGAGATACGCACACAGACGGAAAGGATCGGCGGGCCAGAAAGTTCGTCTACTATGTACACCGAACGTGCTACACTTCGCTCTAGACATTGTACCATTCGACGGCCGATCGACTGCAGGGAGTTGCGAAAGTTGCTGCTAAAGTATCTGGCGAGAGGTGAAACTTGCCGAAAACATTGTTCTTGCGCTCGCTGCGGACACCAGTAGTCTATTTTCTCACGCGCGCTCTCTTGCCCACTCGCTTGCAGGATGCGAGGATGCGGCGGATGCCTGTGCGGCGGATAGAGAGTGTCAGGTGCAATTGATTGCTTCTTGTCTCTTCAACTGCACCAGTTGTAGTCACTCAAGCTTTCGGCTGGGCAAGAAGACGCGACACACGCAATAAAAGGTTAACCCCGCCCGCCAAACATTTCATTAACTAACTTTTTTTCTTATGCGAATAGGCTATTTTTTTTGTGACTGGTGCCGCTCCGGATGTTAATGACTCTGACGGTGAATAGGAATGCCGCCTTGAAGCCACCAGCGAGGAGCAGTTGGAGTGGGAGTCGTGCCTCGCGAGGTAAGAAAAAAGGCACGGCCGCACTCGGCCCCTCTCGACCATATACCCGCCGGCCCTCTCCCCCATTCAATCCCCACTGCCGGGTCGTTAGTCTACACGCCGCGATTGCTACATAATAACCGTCGCGCAATCAAGTAAACCGAAGACATCATTTTGCCGTCGTTCTTTCTGTGGCGTGCTCTGCGCCCCTCTTCGCCCGCGCAGCTACGAATACGCGGGCACTTGCTCGGCGGTTTCGGCGACGTCGTGCTGCTTCGACGTGCTGTCTCCAAACGACTGCCTGGCCAACCCGAAGTTCGTTTCGTACTCGGAGTGTATCGTCCAGGCTGCCAGCGAGCAGGCCTGCTCAAGCCTGTCTTGCAAGCACACGGAGACGATGACCACCTCCACCTCCGACACGAGTGCTGCGGGCAGCGGGAAGCGGCCGGTGTCCATTGGCCGAGCGGCAATAATGGTGGTTGCTTTCTTCGCGCTCGTGGGCGCGTTGCAAAGAACTTGAAACTGTTACAGGCGGGGTGAGGGTGGTGATTTCGCGCTTTTTTGCGGACACGGGAATTCGTGTGTCGCCGAGAGGCACCCGGCCTGCCAAGTCAAAGCGAGTGTTCCTTCTCTGGATTCGAAGGGAGGGAAATGTTTCGCCGTGCGTTTGTCGACAAGCAGGGGAGGGGGGAGGATTTGCGGGAGAAGAAATCGTCAAATATGTACATCATGCACAAGGAAGGCAGTGTGTGCCATCAACGAAGAGTTGGGGGTATTCTCTCGACCCGGCACTCTTGCTGTGATTGTATGCATGTACGTTGAAAAAACAAAACAGTCGGGGCTTGAACGGGGCTGAATCCCTTGCAGGTCCCTGCATGGACGGCGTTCTCGCTTTGTGCGCTCGAGTCTCGTGACAGCACTGCGTGCATCGAGTCAACGACGGTACAAGTACAAAAGTTCCAGCACCTGCACCAGAAAGCCAAACGAAGAGTTGGCCTATGACACCAAATAGATCCTGTGGGCGTCAGAGAGAACGCGCGAGACGCTTTCGTCCAGTAGTTGGCACTGCTGCTGTGTGGTTCCACCACACGGATTCAGCAAAATAAAACCGAACGAGAACATGATGGATATATTATTACTCACGAGGGCGACCTCCACAGAACCCCCACCGCGCAAAGACGCTTGTCGCTACCCCCATCGCTGTAAGCCTTGGCAACAGCACGACCACAAGCAACACTTGCAAGAAAAAAAAAGTCATTGCCACATGAGCGACTCGAGCTGCAGTTTCAGCGAAGCCGTTTGCGCTCCCTGTGCGACCTACTCGAGGAGCACTAAATGTTTTGCGTCAAGCCCCGACCACCCTACGTCCCCTGGACATCCCCCCCACCCCGTTCCTTTGCTCTGAGCAACACGCACGCTCGTCTCCCACAACGGTAACACACATCTTTCTACAACAGGAAAATATACATTCCACACGATGGCAAGAGCCTCAAGGGCTCCGCAAGAGCCTCAAGGGCTCCTCCCCGGCGACCCAATCGCTCTCACTCAGCCGGCGTCGGGACATGGAATTAGGAACACACGCGGAACACCTGCACTGCATCACCGAGAAAAGAAAAGAGGCGTCAAGGCGAGAAGGCGCGAGCATGCAAAGGAAACTCGACGCCGATCACGCACTCTCAGAAAAAACGGGGGGAGATCTAAACCTACAAAAAAAATGGTACGAGACGGTTGTTGTCTGCATATGGATACACGCGGGAATTCGACCACGAGCACTGATAGCATCCACGAAGATGGCCAATCGGCGGGAACTACAACTCGAGCAGAAGCAAAAGAAGCCACGACACATATAATACTGTTAACAGTCCGCACTCGAAATATAGTGCCGGGAGTCTCTCCAAAAGAAGGTACGCACTGCGGGAGTCTTCCGCCGGCCGTGATGAAACCCTGGACAAGTCCCCGATTTCCACCTCTCACTAGACGCAAGGGAAGCAAAACACGCTTACAGTAGGAACCAAGCTGCACACGTGAGGCATCAGCGCCCCCCCTTTTTCCAAATCGAATCGTCACTCCCATCACACAACCACGGCGACGGCGGCGGTGCAGAACGCGAGTAGGCCTGTCACAACGCCTCCGACACTCGTCGAGAACAGGCCGCGCCCCCCCGAGGTCGTGTCGGTGTCGTCAGCGTTTCCGAGGGCGGTCGGCGCCACGCTTTCGCTGCCCACCTCCCCCGCAGCATTGGTGGGCGCCATGGTCTCGTCGGAAGCGGTGGGAGTAGAGCCTCCGCCGCCGCCGCCGCCGCCAGCGGCGGGGGAGGGGGTGATGTCCAACTCGCGGTCGCCGTCGCCGGTGGCGGTCGGGGACATCGTCTCGCCCTCGCCAGTCATCGAAGTCATCGTAGTGGCGGATGGCGTAGCAGCACCAGCAGAAGAAGAAGGGGCGGGTGTGATGTCCGACGCACGGTCACCGTCTCCGGAAGTGGGCATCACGGTCCCTTCGGCACCACCGGCCGCAGCGGGCGCCGAGGTATTCGAGGGCGCACCGGGCATGCCGCCGTCTGCGGTAGCAGACGGCATCATGGTCTCAGCTCCGCCGGAACCAGCGGGCGCGGTGGTGTCCGAGGGCGCGCCAGGCCTACCGCCGTCTGCGGCAGCAGAGGGCATCATGGTCTCAGCTCCGTCCGCCGCCGGTGCGGCAGCAGGCGCGGTGGTGTCCGAGGGCGCACCGGGCATGCCGCCGTCTGCGGCAGCAGACGGCATCATGGTCTCAGCTCCGCCGGCACCAGCGGGCGCGGTGGTATCCGAGGGCGCACCGGGCATGCCGCCGTCTGCGGCAGCAGCGGGCGACATGGTCTCAGCTCCGCCGGCGGCAGCGGGCGCGGAGGTCTCCGAGGGCGGGGCAGGCCGGCCGTCGTCAGGGGCGGGCGCAGCGGTTGGCGCAGTCGGCCTGCCGCTGCCGCCGTCAGCGGCGGCGGGTGTAGGTGCAAGGGTGTCAGCCCCGCCGCCACCACCGGCGACAGGCGTGCCCGTCCCGGAAGCGGCAGCCGGCGCCGGGGTCGTGTCGCCGCTGCACGTCAGGCTCACGTCGCACGGCGCGGCCAGGTCGTAGACGCACTCGAAGAACTCGAAGGTAGCCAGGTCGCTCACGCAGTCGATGCCGGAGACCTCGTTCAAGCAGCACGCCGCCTGCTCCGTGAACTCGCAGGAGCCGATCGTGGCGTCGATGCCCGACAGGCAGTCCGAGAAAGACCCGCCCGTTATGACGGCGGTGCACTGGAGGCAGATGGCGCTCTCATCTGAAAGAACGGGTTGGGTTGTTGGCGGGGAGGAATTGAACAAGGCAGGGGTCAACATGCTGCTTACAGCTGTTGCGTTGGAAGAAATGGCTCTTCGGTGCTCTGGTAGTACTCTGCGTACCTGTCTTGCTCGTCTTGCGTCATGAACCACGTACTTCTGTACCTCCAGCGCTTCCAACGGGTGTGACACGAGCCGTGTTCTCAATTATGCTTTTCTTGTATATAAAACGGAATTTGGCGAGATCCGTCCCCGAGGGGACAAAAAAAAAAAACGCACGTGTGCTACCGTTGTGAAGGAGTACCACTACATTCAAGAGGCCCAACACTTGGAAGAAGCTCGAATTTTCACGCTCTTTCCAAGACCCGGCAGGGAGGGGGGGGGGTTCTTCTCGTCCGGGGTCTACGCGACCAGGCTTTACACACTTCCTGGGGTTACGAGTGACGATTTCCAACTTCGCGAATAGCTATCCAATACACACCACAATAGGTATGGTGCGTATCTGCTATGCATACGCAACTGCGATCTTGCAAAGCGAAAACGTCGTGTGCACGCAAAAACCATTCGACTCGACGCTGGCGGGCTACAGCAGCAGTGCTGCATACCAAGTTATTTTCTGCACCAAGCACTTATCCCCGTGCACCCCTATTCTGTCCAAGGGGTTGGTTCGTCGGCGTGATTCCAACCCCGTTTGGAGCGCCTGGGGGCGGTCAGCCACTCCCCCACTCCACCTGATCAAGAAGAAACAAACTTCAGCGTGTTGGAGTTTCGCCAGTTTCACTACTCACCGCATGCCTGTGTGACTGCGGCTTCCGTGCACTCTTCAAGCTGCGCGTCGGCGTACAGCACGACCGCGGTAGCGGCTACCAGGAGGTAGAGCGACGCAAGGCGAGGGTGGGTTCCTGGAGTGCGTGCCATGACTGATGGGCAATCGTAGTCCGACGGTGTAGTGGTAGCCAATGCCGAGCGCTACGTTGTGTGGTGCGGGCCGTAGTCTTCTTGTCCACCTGGACGACCCGGCTGCACCAAACATTACAAAGCATAGCAGGGGCAACACACAAAAAAAAAAGAGGCCAACATGATGAGGTTGGTTGAGAAATTGTTGGGTAGACAGACCCTTTCGGAATTCTTATTTTGGGTCAGACAAAAAGAGGGTCAGATTTCTTAGATCATGTAGCCGGTAACGTAATTATTCATCTGAGACGGGCCCGCTTTCCGCCCACGGCTCACACAAAAACCTCACTTTATCTGAGGCGTGGGTTCCTGTTCAGTCAAAAGGTCCAGACATTTTGGCAGCAACACAGTAGTAAACCACAAGAACATGGCATCGCAGGGTACAGACAGACTCGTCCAAGACTCCTGTCACCACACCCCTGCACAGACAGACCTACTACTCCTCCTCAGATGCGGGCGGTGTGCGTCTACAGCACATAGTTATATGTGTATGTATGAGGTGATCGCTGTGGAAGGAACCGCCAAGGAAGGGCGGTGGGATGAGACACGTACACGTATCACTAGCCTCAAAATAGAGCAACTTTCTTGTCTACAAACAGGTCAGGAGAACACCCAGACCATGAGCTGTGTAGACCACTCGAACTGCTGGGAGGTGGCCCAAAAGTTGCCTAGTGATACTCTCTATCGGCGCCACCCCCTCTAGACAGCTGTTAGGGTGATTGTTCTCGGTTGAAGCTGCTGCTGCTGCTGCGAGCTGCTTCTGAATAAACCGCCGCCTCTCGCTCTTTCGCTTGATTGGAACAAGCGGCTGAGAGTTTGCTTGCAACAAAAGCCTTTCTACAGGGTACTTCTCTGCGGTGACAACACCCCCGCTAGATGAACCTGGCACCTTGGATGATAGCAGCAGCCAACCAAGCAACAACACCTACTTTTTTTTTTTTTTTTCGTGTAGACGAAAGGGAAGAGGTGGCGTGGGGAACGGCGCACGCGAGTCTTTCGGCCAATCAGCGGGGGGGCTGCTGCCACGTCATGCCAAAAAAAATCTGAGCCTCTTTTCGGATATTTTTTATACCAGCTCTTGTCTGGGCAATTTTGTCTGTGAGACTCAGCCTGACCAAAACGAAACAATTTCCCGAAACTCCCAGGTATCAAGGAGTCCGTTGAGAAAGATCGTGCGCAACTCGAATTCAAGGTCGACGCGGGAATGGGGCGGCTGAACACTGTACTGCTGTTCGCAATAAAAGCCGAGGCAAGAAATAAATGCAGGAAACACGAGGGGGACAAAAAAACAGGGTTGTCATCTGTAACCGTACCACGGCATACCCAATTTAATTGGCGCAAATCAGCCTTGGACATGACGTCGTCGAGATGAGGCGCGGAGAGCCTGCGCGTGGCGAAATTGGAGGCTTTCTAATTTTCTACTGCTGTGCGAACACTCTATTTATAGTTGTGACGGACACTGTGTTCGGTGCGTGCGTCGCTCGCGAATTTACTATGCATATGGAAGTGCAAAGCTGAAGCAACGCACTACAGACGTTGCCGTTTTAACCGTACAGCAGTACACCACGACAACTCGCGCTGGAGGCGATAACAAGGCACTCGGGAGACCACGCATGTACCGAATGTACGGATGTTCGTTCCACATGCCACTGCTGCTGGCTTTGGCGGGCGGACCACATGTGTCTCGGCACCTTGGCCTGGGCCCGAACTGCCAAATCGCCAATGATCGGAGAGAAGCTGCCTGCCCTCTGTATCGAGCTACACCTACCTACGACCTTGAGACCCTTCGGCCATATCACCTGCAAAAAACCTGCTGCTGTATGTATGTAGCTAAAGTCGTCGGAACACGAACAACCATCACGTGTTGTGCATCGACAAGAATTTTTCATCCGAAAGTTTGAAAATTCAGAGGCAGCTGTCTGGCATCCCTGCGCAGTCTGCATGCGCTGCTGGGCAGCGGCAATCGCTGCCCTGGGGCGCCCTCCCTCCTAACCCCTCACGCTATTCTAAAGTCAGAGCGCATGGATGCGCACATGGGTGGGGCTTCTATCCGTGTTGCTTTGTGCAGCCAACCTCCTGAGGCACTGACAAAGGAAGAGATATTGCCAGAGCCAGTGCAAACACGCATTTCGGCGCCCAACTCATGAGCGCGCCCCCCTGACCACCCGGAGTCGTTTCTAAGCGCACGCCAGAACGTGGGAGTAGAACGCAACTCGTAGGGACCGAACCGGGACGCACGTGAAGACACACCACGCCAACAGCAGTATTCTATCACCGGCAACAGCAACAACAAACGGCGCAACCACGACGGTCAGGAGCCAGGACACGCTGCTAAAAAGCGGACAACTCATGACATTTGGAACCGCGATTCACCCGGAAAACAACTATGACGCCTTCAGCGCGCCATGGCTTCAGGGGACGACGCACACGCAACTGCTGTAAGCCTTCAAACGCGAGGAAGCTGTTCCGCCATTAGAGGCAGGTAAGGGCTTGTCGCAAGGGTGCGCATCAATGCCCTTTTCCGACCTTGTGGGCATATGGCTATCTCTTGATGTCCACTCTATATGTATAGCGTGTCATCAATTCTGCTACAAAGAACTAAAAAAAAGCAAATGACAACACCGCACCACCACCACACACGCCGAGCACACAACAGAGCGCCACACCCCAAGGCCGCACGAGAAGGCAAGCAGCCTTACCTGATAGTCCAGGAGTGCCCCCTTGATCGGTCCCTAGAGAAGTGGTGAGCGTGCGGAGAGGAGGGGTGAGAAGCAAGAGCGAAGAAGCAGGGAAGGTGTGTGTGTGTGTGCGTGGCGCCCACTCATACACATGGCCCATTGAACATCCAGGGAAATTTCTGGGATTTCTTTATTGGGCAAACTGTTGTACGCTCTCTGCTGGCTCAAGACCGGTTCTCTGGTTCTGCGCGTGTGGACCGGGGGACCATGGACCGGTGCGGATCCCCCATCTGTCCGCCGACCCAAAGACGTTTCCATGTCTGCGGGATGCGAATCTCCTCCTCTCTTTACCTCTCCGTTTTCATACTGCATGTATTTCTCCCATCCCTCTCTGGTGGTTGTCGTCGTCCTGTATAGGTACTACAATAGTTGTGAGTCTTGGCTGCGTGTTTCGGGTACAACGCCGAATGTATGTATTATACAATATCATAGGCAGATTTCGATGATTTGCTCTGCTGCTCTCATCGTCACCATCGGTGCTCTGTGTACAATATTACGGAAAATAATCCACCGCATCACTATTGTGCACGACCACTTACCTTTAGTCTCGGCAGCCCCAGCTTCCTGCTGAGGGAATACTTTTCGATGCCCACAATCGTCTGTACATTACAGCCGACTGACTGCATGGAGAACCTTGCATGAAAACTCTGTCACGAAAAGTAGTCTACTCCTTCCACAACGTGTGTACCAGACTACGGCGGCACCAAGCGACTACATACAGTACATCAGGCCATGCACTACTGTAGCGTGGTAGAGTAGGCGAGTTGGAGTAGACTACTGTACTGTAGGCTATACTTGAAGAAGTACTGTTGTTTGTACAAAACAACTCACTACTGTAGCGTGGTAGAGTAGGCGAGTTGGAGTAGACTACTGTACTGTTGTAGGCTATACTTGAAGAAGTACTGTTGTTTGTACAAAACAACTCACTACTGTAGCGTGGTAGAGTAGGCGAGTTGGAGTAGACTACTGTACTGTAGGCTATACTTGAAGAAGTACTGTTGTTTGTACAAAACAACTCAGCCTCCGGATGAGGTTTTCCAGATGATGTTGGATGAACATTTTCTTGCATTGAACTACTTCTTCAGGCAGTAGTCTCGCAGTAGTAGTAGTGTTATGCAGTGCAGCAGCAAGCAGTAGTTATTTTACAGTCAACAACTGTCACGAGGCCTGTTGTGTTTTGTTGTTGTTGGTGCTCTCTTCACCGCTGATAGAAATAATATTGTAGAAGATGGATGTACAATACGCCATACGCCGTCAGAGGCCACCCCCGCGACAAGGTGCTACACCTTTCTTTTACCTCACCCATAATAATACCAACCCCGACGACACCTCGGTACCACACGCGTACGCACGTTTCGTGCAATAAAATCGAAGGGAGAATAACGCAAGGCTTTTTCTGTCGTGCTTCGTGCTTGCGTTCTATGCATCAGGGGGGGGGGGTATTTTGGATTTTCGATCTTGGACACAAGGTAATCCTCGTGAGCGTGTTCTCGAAAGGCACTCGCCGGCCAGCAAAGAAATCCAAGAACATGCTTTTCGTGTTGCCAAACGATCTACATTGACCGGTATCATCGTTTGCTAGTCGTCGACTAGTACGAGTGAGTGGGTGCGTTTGGTGCAATAAGAGTATTGTAGGCGATGCAGAACGACGCGTCCAGCGAGACACATTCGGCCCAAGACGTCAACTAGCACCACACAGCAGATATAGATGCACAAGAGACACAGCCTGAAATCAAATCAGTGCGATCTACTTGTGATCAAACGTGTCTGTTTATGCACGAGGTCGAAGTCAACGGAACCTTTTGTGCACCACCTGCACATATAGGCTTCGCGGTATCTCACCACCGCCGCATTCCCAACAACCACCAACAACGAAGCACAATGCCACGCAAGCTACGACTCATTGCAGGCTGCAGTTTCGCGAAAAACTGGCCCATTTATACATCGGAATAACGGTATAACGGTATTTGCTCCACCGGTGGAGTAACTTCTTAATTACTCGGCATATCTCTGCCCACAGAGCTCCAATCCCCCGAAACCAACTCCATCGTGTAGGTATGGGTTACAGTACAGCTATCTTGTACTTCCTCCGAGCCATCAGATGAGCTCACTTTGCAAAAAACACCAGACAGATAAGCTCACTTTGAAAAAGCTCATTTACACCGGCCAATATAGGACATATGACCATGAAACTGCCTACATATGGTCAACGTGTAATGAGTAACGCGATTGAGAAAAAAAAAAATCGACCAGGGGTTAGCATGTTATCGTCCCCGGGGGTATTATTCGTGTTCTACGGAAGATAAGCCGGTTTGGAGAAAAAAACGGTGTAGCGCGATCCAGAATCGACTGTTTTGCGCGGTTCTCCGAAACGTCACGAGAACCAAGAAAAAAACAGTTTAAAAAAAAAACATCTTGACCCTACCAACCGGTGGATCAAACTGTTTCACGGTCGACTACCCCTGCTTACTATAGGTGTAGGTGGTGCACCATCGCGCTCTCAGAAAAGAACCTCGGTTTAGAGTCCTTCTCCAGGTCTTCGCGAAAACAGTTAAATAACCGTTTTGAAAAAGTCCCAAATGGGCACACGCCACTCCTCTTTATGTGCTAAGTGAGCTTATCTGAGGGCTCGGAGGAATTACAACATTACACCTACCCACGTCAAGAACCAACCTAGCACCTGCCAAGCAAAATGAAAAATATTCGATGCACCCGCTTCAAACTCTAACACAATCCCTACCTAACCCCAAACCCACACCCTATCCGATGAGGTGCTAGGTTGGCTTGGGGTTGCTATTCTCTAGGTTGATGGGATCAGCATTTACTCCGTTAGGGCAATATCTAGCATTCATGAATTTGTACACGAGACTCGCGTGGAGCAGCAACTGCAGTAGTCTTACTCCGACGGAACTACCCGTCGCCGTCTCGAATTTTTATCATCCCGTTCGTTCCTCGAACGAGGAGAGGGTCAAGGATAGGAACCAACGGCTGACCAATCAGATGGCGTGAAACCGCGTAGATAGCAAGAGTCACTAACAGAACGTAAATACTACTGCCTCGAACACAAAACGTGTTTCTCCCTGTACACAACTATTTGCTACGAAAGGAAATTCTACATTCTACACGGCGATGCATGGAATCTAAGGTTCCGTGATCAACACCACACAACACTCGCCTCCCCTGTTCCGCCGGCGAGGACGTATGTTCCAATCTGCACCGAGTACGGTAGCAGAACGCTAACGGAGGACCCGTCACGAGGAGCTGCGCGGCCGTCTGTCGGCGCTAAAGCCTGGGCATTGTCGTGAGTAACATGTCTCAAGAGACGAAGAGCTCATCACACGACCGCCACGGCGGTGGCAGCAGCGGCGGAGAATGCGAGTGGGCCAGTCATATCATCCATCCACAACCCATCACAACCAGAGACGAAAAGTCCTTTTCCGCCAGCTCGTGTCTGTCTCATCAATAACCAGCACCCCAGCGCGCAACTCGGCACTACCCTTTACCGATGCATATGCGCCAAAAATGCGGTGGGTGCCGTAATGATCACACGCTACTGTTCCGAGCACTGCTAAAGGCCTTGGAAGTGGCACTGCTCGACTGGTGGAAAGCTCGCAGACTACTTGCCCTATCGCTGAACGCTCCAATGCCGTCAAGGTCTTACAGGGCTTCGGGATACTGATAAGCTACTGGGTACTGGTGAGCTACGGGATATTGGGTGGCAGAGTCACCAGAAGCACCCACAGGCTGGACGCCTGATGTCTGGGGCGCCGCGGGCGCCCCACCAACAGGGATAGCAGCATTCGGAGTGGTGCCATTGCTGCAGCTCTTGAGACGCCCAGTCTTGATCGCAGCGACCATGATGATCCCACCAAGTACCAGCACGCCCACTACGCCGCCCACGATCGGGCCGGCCGGAGCTGAAAAGGTATGGTTCCCGGGGCTTCAAGACGTCAGAGATGTACAAGGTTATGGCAATTGGCAGCGGTGGGCGGGGCCGAAATCTGGGTTTTGCTGTTGCTCGCAAAACCTTGTGTTTCGTAAATTCTGGAAAAAATGTCATCCCACCTTCAGTTTCGGGGAAACCCAAGCAGGCAACAAGTTCTCACCTCCTCCAGAAGACGTGGTAGTCGCCACCTGGGATGTAGAGGGCGATGCCGGGGTAGAGGAAGCCGCCGGGGAAGCCGTAGGGGAAGCCGTAGGAGAAGCCGTAGGGGAAGCAGTAAACGTGGCTGCCACCGATTGGGACGTAACGGGTAACTCCGCAGTAGGGAGGTTCATATTCCGATCTGACCAAGTGGACACCGGGCTCCTTGTCGGGGCAGTGGCGTTGGTTTGGGTCGTATCTGATCCGGCAAACCGGGTATAGGAAGGGGGCCTTGGGTGCGACGAGGCTGTGGAGCCGGACGCCGACGTGGTGGGAGGGTCGTCACCAGCACTGGCGCCGCCGCATGCCCACTTTTCCTCGCACAAGTTGGACTTGCCGAACATGCATTCGAAGAGTGCACGCGTAACCGGGTCGCCTAAGCAATCAATTCCCGTCGCTTCGTTGAAGCAGCACACAAACTCTTCGTTGGCGGCGCAAACGTCGTAGGTAATGCTGAGGTGCTTGCTGTCAATGCAGGCGAAAAATGCATCATCGGCCGCAGCGTTGGAGCACTCCGTGCAGACCTCCTCCTTGACTGCAAAAAGAGTTTTTTCGAGAGTTTCGAAGGCGTGGGCGGGTTTCCGGGTCAGTACATCAATCGAAGAGGATGTCGAACAATCGCTGCTTTGGAAGACTGACCACGATTTTGACTGAGGAGGGCCCGTTGTGGTCGTATACGGAGAGGGCACCCAACGATGTTTCAGCCAGTGCTTCGTCTCTTCTAGTGCAAGACGTACGGCCATGCGGTCACCGACACCACTTTGTTAGTCACAGGCCTTGTCGGCACTCAAAAGGCGCAATGAACACTTGGCAACCCTGCCGACAGAACCATTGGCACCTCAGCATTGGGTTCACATCGCCGCGTATGCTAACAGAGTGAGCGCCGATACTACTGTAGTACGAGCAAGAAGAACATGCAGAAAGGCATCTCCTCGCACCCTCACGAAGACAGGGGAGCTCGTTGCGTGCCGGTGTCCCCCCTACCAGGCCCATCCCCCGAAACAAATCGGGACGCGAGGAGTAGTGCTACACGTATGTGTATTTTTTTTATTGCATCAACGAACTTCGTACTGAGGTCGTACGTACGGTGCCATGTTCAAGCATGCTCACCCGTACGTTGTAAATGCCAAAGAGCTCTGAGGTCTTCTCGGACCGGGAAACCATCAGCGAGCATTAATCAACGCATCTTCGCGGTGGCACGGACAGTGCTCCCCGTAGTACCTACTGTAGTCCTTTTACTGCACTGGAAGGATGTTTGAACATTCCTGACGTATTTGGCATGCCGTACCCACTGCAGGCTAGATTCAGGTCGTAACAGTCTCGGCTGCTACTCTGCTGTGCATCGGCACGCCGGACCAGCGCGGAAGCGGCGCCAAGGAGATAAAGCGACAAGACCGCCAGGCAATGAAGTGGTGCTGGGGTGCGCGCCATTGCTGGAACGCAAGCCCGGCCCGGGGCTACCGAAAAGAGGGCGCCGCTCCTGCGTGGACTTGGACTTGCGCCTGCACAATTGATTCAGCAGCAACAACGCTCAAAAAAGGAACGTCACGGATTGAAGCGCACGCAGGGACGGTCTTGGGTGAGAGAAACAAACAGACATGGATGTATGGCTAGAATCGTCCAACGCGGGGCGTCAAATGTATCTTCTTACGTTCATATGGGGGGTTCATCGCCGGATGTATTGGAATATTGGCGAAACAGAGCTTACCGTTGCATGCACCACACAGCTCAGGGTGCTCGCAAACACCGGGAGCATTCGCTTGAAACACACCAAGTAGTGGTAAGGCCACGCTGGTATGCGAAAAGTGAATACCACGAGGCAATGTCCAATCCTGTGAGCGGTTCAATCGGAGTCCTCATAGGTGAAACACATGGAAAGGAAACACTTCGTAATGTCACCCTTGAGTCGTTGAAGGCATCGCGGCAGTGTGACCACGGTCCCGGATACAAGCGCAGAGTAGCTAGAGGACCACACCAAAGGAATGGTTTGTTCGCAGTCAGAGCACCAAGAACGCAGGGACACATAGGGTCAAGCAACGAGGAACAGCATATATCCAGAAAAATATATATATATATGGTGAAGGTGGGCTATCTACTGTACAGCAGAAAAGCATCCCCATTGTTTTCGTCCTCAGGCGTGGGTCGCTTATTACACTTTCGGAAATATTGTTGATTGTTCAGTCCATGGAACTCAGTCCATGGAACTCAGTCCATGGAGAAAATGGGATCCCAAGGGCTGCCCATGCATGGGATGCGCATGGAACAACAAATCCCCACTTGCAGCCCAGGACACACACAGGCACTTCATGAACAGAGAAACACCGTTTTCTTTGAAGGGCCAACACCATATTTCGCAATCTCGATGAGAATTATGTCCGCATTTCTTTGGCTAGGCAGATAAATTCAATTCAATAATTTTCTTCTGCCAGCCAGCATGTATGTCGAAACTACTGGACTACCGTACTACAAGCACCTCTGCAAGGACAACCTCATCTTTCGAGAGGGCGGACAGAGCAGACTTCAACCCCTTCGATATCCAATCATCAGGTGGTCCCCAAATATTGGAACCTGCTCGCTTGTACGTACCATAGCTGTTGCGACGGTTAGGGATTGTCGCCCTGCTACCCTGCCCGCGGCGTGCCGCCGACTCATCGACACCGTCGATTGCTTCGGTCAACGCTCACGATCCTGCCGCTCTGTTTGCCTCAACTAGGTACACTGCTCTACGCTTCTGGAGACGACTTCACGCTCATGGTGCATCGATCGTCGGTCAACACCATGCGGGAAGTCGTACATATATGGCTAGTTTGTGGGCCAGACCCGATTGATCTGCCCAACAGAAACCACTCCGAACAACGCCTGAAGAACATGCATCAACGGGCCGTCTAGCTCCGCTGGAGAGGGGGGGGGTGAAGACGAAATCCGTGCGAAAGCTGCATCAAGCTGACCTCTTCATCGGGGCCAAGGTCACCACCGCGGCTGATCTCTAACAACGGGCAGAGGCCACTTGGTCTCCGAACGTCCAACCCAGATCCTTCCGTTTCTTGTCATTTGGGAAGAAGTCGGTATTGTGCGACATGATACCCCCCCCACACCTCCCGTTATTTTCAATTTCGATCAGGTGCAAGCCTTTGTTAGGGCGTTTTTCGGAGATTAAACAACAATCCGAGGCTCAGATTCGTACAAGCTGGCCGGCACTGTACTTCGCTGCAACTTGCCCACGACCCACGGCCGGCGGCCCACCCACATGGGGTCTCCCACACCTCGGGTATGATAATCTATCTGCCCAAGGGAACTATCCATATGCAAGGGAACGGACAGCCCATGCTGGGCAGTTCATCGGTTGCCCATGAACTACGTGCAATGCATACATACGTAAAAGAGGAGTAATCTTTTACCGTGTGTGTGTTGTGTTTTGCTTCAGGGTGCTGGCACACCCGACGAACCAACTACCCAAAACATTTCTTCTACATCGCCAGCATAACAAACAGAGAGATGCACAGGAAGGCTACCAAACTCCACGCCTCCCTCTCTTGCATCATCTCAACAACAGAACATGAGAGACAGACAGGCACGATGAAAGGCGCGGGAAAGCGTTAGAACCAAAAAAATGCTGAACTGCTGCGAAGGGCAGCTAAACGAAGCCAGGTTTCATCAGCTTTCACCTGGGTCAACTTCGGGGTAACCGTCGGCTGGCCCTGCGAAAGCGTTCCGTGCGCGGCGGTTGTGAGCGCGAACGAACGCAGGGGGTGAGGGTGGATAGGGAGGCCGGAGCGACAAGACGTGTCCAGTAATTGGTAATCGGCGAGGGCCGATCGCGGGGCGCAAAAAAAAAGCGGCAATGAATTGGGTTGGTAGCAGTTAGCCGTAAAGAGTTACATATTATTCTACAGCATCAAACAAAATGAAACAAAAAGCAGGGGAGATGTCCCTGTATGCTGTCTGGGAAATCGTAGACATACAGGTACTTTCTGAGGCTATGAATTCATTGCTAATCTGTCTCAGACTCTTTTCTGTGATAGAGATGGATTCGTTGTGTCATACTAAGAAAAAAAAAAAAACAAGGACACCTCTCAATGTAGTGGTATGCACGCGTGATGAAGTCTGGTTGACCCGTGAAGAAGAACTCACTTGTTGTTACTCTTGCAGGACAGCAGCAGCAGTAGCTGTTGCCTTGGGTATTGGTAGGAATGACACCAAAGGGCGCAGGATCCTCAATACAAGCAGGGGCTACTAGATCCTGTCCCCTGTTTTATCCTTCCGCGGGGAGTCACATCTCTCCGCGCCTTCTAGAAGGAACCATTATCTTTAATGTTCCGTCTACACATCTGAATCCTATAACATCAAACCTCGCTTCTCAACCCAACCTCGGTGTGCTATCCAAACTATGCATCATGCGTCACTCTCATCACAGCGCGCTATTGGGATGGCACAATCTCTCACCTATACCTTGCTGGCGCTCTGTCACTCGGTCAAAGGGGGGTGGCTGTAGGAGAACTGACGAGAACCAGAATTTATACTGATCGTAAAGGGGTAGACCGGGGGTGTGCGTCGTGTTGCCCCGGTCTCCGCTCTGTTCCCCTCCCCCTTGGCGAGCAAAGGGGGTACGTACAAATATTAATGACAAACTTCGAAAGCATGGAGAAAACCAAAATTAATTATCCAAATACGTTGGCTCCGGGAAACAGGGATACCTTGGGGTACCATCAATCTTTTCTGATACAATCTGCGGAGCTTCCTACAACACATTCAGAGTCATAAACTATGTAAAAAATTCATGTAAGGAAACCAAGCGGGGCTCAGGTTTGTCCGAAGGGGTTGCTCGCCAAATGTGTGCTATGGGTGTTGGTTATTGTTGGTGTTATGGTTGTGGTTGTGGTTGTTGGTGGTGGTTTTGACATCGGTTTTCTTGTTCTTCTGGGGATTGAGGGCTTGTGCCGGTGCCGATACTCCAACCGTGATCTTACCTTCATGCCCTGTTGTCCCACCGTTTCATTCCCCACGCTCGTCGACCACACTAACCCGCTCGTCACCATCAGAACTATCTAATCCCATGAAAGGATAAAGAGTCTGTCTCAGGGCATACTAGATAGGGCGGTTTACGAGTGGCGGGGTAGCCGACTCTACCTTGTAGTATTTTTAGTCTGCATAGGGATACACACAGGGCGGACACCCTGCGCAGAACTTTTTCAGACAAACAGACCCCAATGGTGGACATCATTCGCGGAAAATACACTCGAAATACAAGGAATTGGCGGACACCAAGACCGTGGCGAAAGACTTCTTGCGAGGTGGAGACCCCGGAGGAAGCACCTTTGGCAAGTATGACACTTATTTGGCGGTGTATACTGCTAGGGTCATCGACATGGCAAACTTTGAGCGACAGGGTAGCGGGTCGACATCGGTGACTTCTCGCGATGGGGCAGGGTCACAACGTTTGGTCCTAGAGAGCCCAACAACGCAAACAACACCCGAAAACCAACAACTTGACCGAAGCCTCGAGGCACAGAGAAACATGCTTGCGTCTAGCACACACGAGCAGAAAAGCAACGTATCACGCGGAAGATGAGGGACGTTGGTAACGGCTTGGCAAAACTTTTGAATGTAAGCTAGGAGACGTTGCGAGGGGAATCGGCGGCACTTTGGTGTCACAACCGTCGCACATGAGCGACGTCAAGCAGTATTTCGGAGACGAAAAATGTTTTCCGGGTATCGATGACCTCATAGAGAGAGTCGGGGAAGGGGCCCCGGCCCCCACTCTAAATTCGGAGCAAAACCTCAAAAAAGAAGCCCTGGCGAGGGACGACTGGTGGCGGCGGAGGGAGGGAGATCGAACCCCCGCTCACGTCTATCGCGGGTATGGAACGGAGGCCGGATCAGGGCAGGTCGCTCAGCGTGTCCTGATCCGGCTTCATCGTTCGCCTCACCGCTGAACATGATGCCGGGGTTCGATCGCCGTCGGCCGACAACGGTCGTCCCCCGCTCGAATGGGTCTGAACAGGGCCCGGCCAAGTATAACCTCTGGGAGGAAACCCCTTCGTATTACAGGCATCTGTGGCATTTGGCCGATGCTTTGCCATTGCCATCTGCGCCACGTTGTCGTCATTGCTTACGAAATTCAGCTTGAAAAACCTTGCATGGTTGGCACCTTCAATGTGAAGCGACCTCGATTGT